TAACTTAATGCGTATTATGTTCTCAAATGGACAAACATATATTTCATAATATACACCCTTTTAATTAATAAATATGAAATAAATGTATACATGAAATGTGTATTCTATTGCTCAAAAATGAGTATTTATATGGATTTACCAAAAACACTATTCTATATCTAGTTGTACGCCTGATTGTAAATTATTAAGACTTTAGTCGGTTGAGCTCCCATAGGTTTCTCCATCATGTGCTCTCATTCGAAAAAAAAGACATTTATTCTTTTCTTTTGGTTCTCTTCAAGATTGGAGAATGAGTAGCCCTCTCTTTAAAAATGTCATCTTCAAAGTATTTGTCCCTCTTAGTAGATTCCTTCTTCCTTCTAAAACTTTCACTCGAATTTCACTGAGTAAGGAATTTGAATTTTCTCCAATGCGTGGTGTGAGGCCAAGCCCTTCTATTGAAGTAGATGTACGCACATCTTTCCAAAAAAAGATGAACCTCATCCCCAAGATTTCATTATTGGTATTCGGTCTTGCCATCTTTATAGTCCCATGGAAAGTTAATCATTCTTCCCTTAAGACTTGTGATAATAGACTTCAGAAGACTGAATTGCCATGATGTTTAAAGAAATAAATGAGAGAGTACTTCATAAGAACCAGGTGTATGCCTATTCGATTGAAAAATTCTTTGTACCAAGATCCAATGAAGCTATAAAAATGATACTCCCTCCGTCCCCTTACGTTTCATTTTTTGTGCATCCTTTAAAACACTTTTATATCGTCTCAAATGGCAAAAAAACTTTCAAAACAATTTCATCTTATAATAAAGAGTAAATATGGTAAATTTTAGAATTTTTAGATGTGAGTAGCCATGCTTTTTGTGATGCGCAAAAAAATGAAATGTAACATTCTTTTTGAGACGGAGGGAGTAGTATGTATAACAAATTAACAATACAAATGAATACTATTTAGATTTGTGCTTGGCATTCCACCATGAGAAGTCGTCATCAAGTGACAAGAAAGAGCAATCTTATTCATGATCAAAGCTTGTGAAGTGCATGGAGAAGGAGGGCAATATAATATGAATACATTCTCTTGAAATATTAGAATAATAAAATTGCTCATTAAATTATGGAGTAGATGATACAATATATATAGGAGAGACTTCTAACACAACTAAAAAATAGATAGTGAAAATTAACCAAAATAGGACATCTACCATAAATAGGAATAAGAAGTTAACTTATATTCAAGCACTACCATACCTAATACTATTATTATTATTGTCAAGCATCACCACTCAAACTGAACTCTAGCTAAAGCAAGAGGAAGTTTGGACACTACCTGAAAACTGGAAATTTTGAGAAGAGAGAAGTTGGACGTGCGCTGGACATCAGTGGCGGATCCAGAAAATTTTTTCACTGGGGGCATTAAGTAAATTAAAGTGAAAAAAATAAAATTTAAAAATAAGAGACAATTATAAAACTGAAGGTACAGATGGTCAAGAATCACGTGTTCTCGGTGTTGAGGGGGACTTCCGTTTAAAAAACTTCTCCATTATCTAAATATATAAAATGAGATATACTTTTTTACTAAATCTATGTCCAAAAATTAGAGAAAATTATTTAAATATATCAATTGAGAATTAATATATTTTTAGAGACTAGAGTCATCAATTCATATGTTTTGGGGCAATTATAAATTATAAATAATAATAATCAACAGTTCAACATAATAAACAACAACAAACAACAAAAACTCAGTTGATTCCCACTACAGTAGGGTCTGGGAGGGTGTGTGTACGCAGACCTTGCCCCTACTCGGAAGTAGGGAGGCTGTTTCCAAGAGACCCCCGACTCAACCTGCACAAAAAATATGGTAGGGAACACAGTATAACACAGACAATTCAACATAATAAACAATTCCATCAAATACAAAATTGAAATATAAAAACAAATTATTCAAAAGGTTTCACACATTACACATAAATCTAATTTTCAGATTCATCTAATTATTTAGTTCATGTTTTAAAAAGGAAACAAAATTATTTAGAAATACCCGGTGCTCGACTGGTCGGTGCGGCGGACGGGCGACGGCGACGTGGCGGACGGTGCTGCTGTTCAGTTGTTCCAGCTGTTCGGCAGAATCGGCTCTTCAATTGCTCGGCTCTCTTCTCGATTTCTACAAAAGCTAAAGGGAAGGGGAAATTATATTTATTTTTTGGGAATTTGGACAATTGGTGAATTGGGCCACTTTTGGATTGGGTCTTTAGCCTATTTAATTGTTTTGGGCCAAACTGGGGGCAGATTTTTTTAGTGGGGAAATTATATATAAACATTAAAAATATACATAAATATATATTTAAAAAAAATTCACTGGGGGCAGCTGCCCCCATATCCTAAGCTGTAGATCCGCCCATGGCGCTGGTGGCTGCTAATGTCGTTAGAGAAGAGAGAAGTGTGACGTGCGCTAGTGGCTGCTGACGCCATTGGAGAAGAGAGAAGTTTGACGTGCACCGGTGGCTGGTGACATCGTTGGAGAAGAGAGAAGTCTGACGTACACTGGTAGCTGCTGACGTCATTGGAGAAGAGAGAAGTCTGACGTGCGCTGGTAGCTGCTGACGTCTTTGCAGAAGAGAGAAAGGGTTGACGTGCGCTTGTAGTTGCTGACGTCAATAAAGAAGAACGGAGAAGACTTTTGGAGGTGTCTATTTGATTGAAGATCCTTGACATTCTTTGTCTTTTTCTTGGATCCGAGCAATGTTCTCTTTCTATTTCTGAATTGTGAGAATTTTTTTATAACTTTCTTGGAGGGGTGAGTTATCGAGGTATCATTTCCTCTTTCTCTATTTACCCTTTTGGTTATGCTTTGAATTTTTATTGGTTCAACAGAAGAGGAAGAGAAAGGAGATTGATGATTAGAATGAGTGATTTGAGAAAAAAAAGCAAGTTAAGAATTTGTGATGGAGAAAAGATTTGGGTATGAGATTCTGATATGGTGAATTGGAGAGAAACAATTATCGTTTTTTCCCTTGATTTTGAAAAAATTAAGATAGGTTAAGAGTTTTTGAGGAATTGACGATCCAAAAACAATTATCTCTTTTGAAATATTTGCACTAAATAGCACTAAAACTCAAGTCATTTCCCTAAATAGCACTTAAATTGTTTTATTCTCTAAATAGCACTTATAATGTCCATAATGTCCAGTGATGGCGGAATTTTGCTTAAATAATGACTAATGCATAATGACTAAAAGTGCTACATTGGGAAGAAAAACATATGTACTGCTATTTAGGGAAATTCATTATGTTTTAGTGCTATTTAGGTAAATTTCTCATCGTTTTTTCCCTTGATACGGAGGGAGTATATAAGAACTCATGTTATAAAAGATCAATTATAGAATTTACTTATAAAATATTAAAAGGGTAATTTAGTCCTCTTTTTAGTCCCATTCAGTGTAAATTTAACAAATTAAAATAGCTAGCGCAGTTTGAGTTTCAGCCTGGGTGTTGATTTAACTTGTAAACATTCAAATGCGTGTCTCAACGCTAATTAGTGCATGCCTCACTAAGTATGCATGAACAACATTTTTAGCTAGCTCTCATCACATAATAATGTCTCAATTTAATTTGTTCAAGTTCATAATCCAAAAGAAATTACACAACTATTGACAAGGGAAAAACACAGATGGATATACGTACACATGCATGCAAGGCACTGATCGAAGAAGTAAGGCATGCAGGTACGGAGTATATTTTCGATCATGAAGCTTGAAATTAACGAGAACATATTCATTATGTACACACGCAAGATTAAAAAGCAATATATATATATATATATATATATATATATATATATATATATATATATATATATATATATATATATATATATATATATATATATATATATATATATATATAAAATCCAGCTGCTAGCAGGGTCTAAAAATTTGTTCGACATTCTTGAGATAAAACCTTTGTACTCTTTTTCAACGAATCCACCTTGAACTCACACGTTATTATAGTTGCATCTTTCTTCTTTCCCTTCATCCAACTCGAAACCTCCATCGACACACTACTCACCTTCAACGTCATGGGTTTCGCCTTCCCTTCCTCGTTCAACTCCTTTCGCAAGTCACGAGAGAGGTTCGCCACGTCCCCCACGAGCTTCAAATCGACATCCTTTCTTCCCCTCGGTTCCAGCAAAACCGAGGGGGGAAATCTCCCCGTGGCGACCGCGTTGTTCTTGAAAACAAGACCGGATTTCCCCCCTCTCCCAAACAAAACCTTACTTCTGGCATTGTTGTTCTCGACATGCAACGAGATCTCGACTGTAGAATTCTTGAGATAATGGACCCGCGTGATGGAGAATTGGGGGGGTATAGGGGGGTAGAGAACGTTGACGATGACGAGAAAAATGGAGATGGCGATGGAGATGAAGAGGAGAGGGGTGAGGAACCAACAACAACAACAACAACATTTGGGGAGATTTGTGTCATTCTTGGATTGCTTGCCTCGGTAGGTTTGGATGAATTTGGCGTTCTCAGGGGGAGGGACGCGGTACACCTGGTCGCGGGGGATCTGAACCACGTAGGTCTCCGAGGGGGCCCGTGGGGGGACACCCTTCCAGCCCTCGTCTCCGCCGGCAGGTGGGACCCGCTCCTCCATGGAAGAGCGGCAGTGCTGGGAAGAGGGCGCGCGGGCAAATTGTGGTGGCTGCAGGCTAGTCGGGGAAGGTGGCCACGATTGGGAAAAGTTAATTTCACGAGTTTGTGGTTTTCATGGGAAATTGATTAGAGACCAATCAAGCTTGGTTATATGTCACGGTATTAGACTTATGCATGCCTTTTCTTGTTGTTTTTTTTCTACTCCGTATTTCATTTTTTTTGGTGAGGGTAATTATTTTTTGGGTATTTTAATCGGCGATTGCAAGCATTTCGCAGTACAAATTTTTTAAGCCAAACTATGCTCTTATGTAAGAGAGTAAACGCGGCAGTGAAATGTAATTAATTGATCATTGACCTATCAGTTTTCATTATTAATTCTAAGGTTGGCACGGCTTCGACAACTAGGTTTGTTCCATTCCCCATTTTAAGTGTTCTTCGGTTTCTTTCCCGCTTCTAGATTGTAAGGAATTCTTGAAGTGAGTTGGTTACATGAACCATAGAACCACCATGTCTTAGTTGGAACATTTAAATTAAAGGACTCAAGTATAATGTAAAGATGATTATCTTTCTTCGTCAGCCACTCCTTAAAGTCTTTGCAGTCTTTCTGTCTATGTCCTTCCTTGCAGTAGAACTTGCAGTGAGACTTCCCTTTGGAGTTCTTAGAACTGGAAGCAGCACTTGCATCATGTTTCTGAACTTTAGAAACCTCCTTCTTATCGACATTGTCTTTCCTCTTCTTTGGATTAGCAGTCATGACGTAAGCCACATCCGGTTTGTCCAGCTTCAGATACTTTTCTTCTTGTACACACATAGCAATCAACTCATTCATAGACCACTTGACTTTCTGGGTGTTGTAGTTGACCTTGAAGGCTTCAAAAGATGCAGGAAGAGAAGTCATGATAAAGTGCACCAGAAAACCCTCAGTGACTTCCATGTCTAATCCCTTAAGCTTACGAGCCATGTTGCTCATCATCATGATATGCTCATGAATGCCGCTATTCCCGTCATATTTCGTAGTCACCATCTTTAAAATGGGAGAAAAACCAAAATAGCACTCTAAGAGCATTAAAATACTCTAAATAGCAGTGCTATATGTTTCGTAACTGTAATTCCGATTTTGTCCTTTAATTAAACAGTAAATGTTCATTATTCACTGCCAAAAAATATGATTATTTTGGGCAGTGTGGTTGTTCACTTGTAATTGTGTAGTGGGCAGTGTGCTTTTTTATATGTGAGTTTTTAATGTGGCAATGTAGAATGGATATATGTTGTTATATCTTACGGCAGTGTGTAAATGTATTATTGTGTTCCTTAATTTCATGTTGTAGTGTAATGTCCATTGATTTATGTGGTAGTGATTTCATGTATTAACTCTACACTGTCAAAAAATGTATGACTATTTTCATGTATGAATTCCACACTGCCAAAAATGTATATGATTGTTTTCATTTATGAATTCCACACTGCCCAAAAATGTATGACTGATTTCATGAATAATCTATTACACCAAAACACACTGGCCAAACATGAGCTTGGCTTTTTTTGGTCTTTCTTGATTTTGTATAATGTTAGAAGATGTTAGTATTAGACATATGCTGAATTGCATTTATGTAGGGTGGTACTGAAAAGAAATGGATAATGAAGGTATTATGTTGTAAATTTTAAGACTTTGTAAGCAGCATACACTGCATCATTATGTAAAATTGTGCAACATAGCACACTGCCCAAAACATAGGACATAACACACTGCCAAAAAGTATACCTAGATCACAAGCATTCCACTCTGCCAAAAATCTTTGAGCTTACACTTCATACTTTGTTTATTAAAGTTATCCAAGCACTAGTCATTTTGGTGATTTTTTTGTGTCCGCTTCCAATAGAACTCAATGTATAATTTATTACATTGGGATTTTTAGATATAAATCACATTCGACCAAAACACACTAGGAAAACATGGTCATATGACATTTCCAAAAAGTGTAGCTAGAAGTTGATTATTCCACACTGTCAAAAAAATATCAGCCCCTATCGACAACACGTTTCCATAACGAACTCTTGAATGTTCAAACCCAATAGTCATAGAACGAAGCACATGGCTTTTGCACAATATGAAATTCAATTCATAATTCATAACATTGGCAGTTTTATATGTATATCTAATTTCACTGCCATATTATTAATGGAAGTTAATGAAGTACATACAAATTTGTTTAGGTCGCTAACTTTTATACACTGCCATATTTTCACTCTTGTCTGTCACATTATATATAGAAGACAATTTCACTGCCAAAAAGTGTTTGCATAACATGATCAATCTGTATTGCGCATATATTTATATCCACCATATTGAGTAACACATTTCATAACAATCTCTTTCATGGTAAAACCCTATTGTCATAAAATCAACCACAAGCTGTTTGCACAATATGAAAGTCAAATAATAATTTATAACATTGGTAGTTTTATATGTAAGTCACATTGTCACCACTTCTTTATAAAAAAATTATGTAGTTTTTTTAATATATAATTCCTATTTTTTAATTATACAATAATTTTTACTTATATTGATTTGAAAATAACTTCAAGCAAACATCGTAAATCGAATAAGAGCCATATTTTGGGATGAAGGAAGTATTTATAATTGGCATATTTTTATGATATAATTTTAATATATCATATTTTTATTATATATATTTATTCAAAACTACATTTAATTGATTGACGAAAGAATTTGATAAAAAAGAGTACGTACTATGCCACTATGCACAAAGTATACATTATGTGAGTCCGAATTTGATATAGGAGTTGAAAGAGGAATTGAAACAATTGATAGTGGGATAGATAAAAGGGATTGACAACATAAAGGGTATGATTAGAAAATATTGACAACATAAATAGCTAATTTGGTAACAAAACAATAAGCAGTGCTAAATGCGTAGTATTAGATGAGTTAGAGTGCTACGTAGGGTGATTTCTTCTTTAAAATTAGAGTACTAGCTAGTGCTTTAGAAGTTGCTTTGAATTGTTCCTCCACGGAAGCCAGATACTCCCGTCATCCCAGTGTATTTGTCCAGTTTGATTTTTTTGAGTCAAACTAGACAAACTTTGATCTTCAATTAAATAAAAACCATATTGTATTTTAACATAAAAATGAATTTATTGGATTTATCGTATTGAGAACTTTCAAAATTGTATTTCATTATGCTAATATACAATACAAATTGAGAGTAATTGGAGTTCAAAGTTTGTCCAGTTTGACTCGAAAAAGACAAACTGGACAAATACACTAGGACGGAGGTAGTATGTTTTAGCATTAGATGAATCTGGAATAACTTCTCTGGTGATTAGGCTGATGGAATTTTAATGAGCATAAGAGTCATTCTGTTACACCTCTCCCATCTCTCATGTACTGTTTTATCATTAGCACTCCTTTTATCAGTGAAGGCAGGAGGGGCAGGGTGTCTCAGTGCATAATCAAAATCTAGCCTGCTAAGAGTTAGCATAAGTGAATCTTTCCATGAAGAAAAATTCACACCGTTCTGACTATTCAGATTGTTTTTAATAATATCTTATTCTACTTGAATTGTACTCCCTCCGTCCCATAAATTCCTTCCCGTTTCAAAAAAATTGCATCCCACAATCTCCTTCCCGTTTCTATTAAAAATCACTTTCACCCCTTACTTTTTCAAACCCTACCTATCGCATCATACTTTTTTCCTAATAATCTACACATCACATCCTACTTTTACCCATCACATTAAGGATATTTTTAGAAAGTCAATACAAAATTATCTCTTCCTTAATTTCTCACTTTAGTCCAAATGTCCCTATCTTTATGGGACGGAGGGAGTACATAATATGTATTTTTCTCAAAGACCTGGTATTTTAGAACTTTCCATTGTCAAACGATAGAATAGATAGAAATCATCTTAAATAGGACTAAAACATAAAGAAAAGTATCACAATAGGACTTTCATGTGTTTTTCTTCAAAATAAGACTTTGCACTGTGGTAATGTGGCACTGTACATGTGGACATTACTATATTTTTTGGTAATGTACATGACCATGTTTGATAATGTAAGTCATATTTCGGGAATAAAAATATAGAAGTCCTATTTTAGTATATTTTCAATGTTCTAGTCCTACTATGGACTTTTTTCTAGAGTAGAAAGCTAAGGACTGATCCTATTTAAGGAAAAATGATATATTTAAGTTACATTTGTGTAAATTACCCCAATTATTTACTCTGTTCATTTCTAAAAAAATGGAGAGAGTAATAAAGTGTATTCTCTATAATAAGGGCTAAGGAGTAGTAAATAACTAACACTATGTTTGGTTCAAGGATTTTGGAAAGAAAAAAAAGAAATGATTCTCTCATTTTCCTCACCAAAATGGGAGAAATTTGGTTTTACCTCCACTTAATAAATTTCTCTCCTCATTTTCTTTTCCTTATCACTTTTCCTCTCGCCAAACTTGAAAAACTTTTTCCACTTCATTTTCCCTTATTTTCCCTTTCAAATTACTTGAATCAAACATAGTTTAAATCATCAATATATATTCTTATCATCGTCTTGAGTTTACTTATATGGTTTTACGAGAAATTTGTGTGCGTGGGTACATTGGATCCCAACAATTAAGTTCACCATCGTCCAAGGTTTGAATTGAAGGGGCCATAATCCAAAACACCTGTCATTAAGAATTTTTTTTAATTTCCTTATTTTGCAATTATCCTCTTGTTTATCATCTACGCAGTACTTTATTGGACATTTGCAAATGGGGGTGAGGGGTAGTTTCGTTTCCTTTTTAGCATCTATCATCATTTTAGAATGAAGTTTAGATGCCTCAATAATGTCTCAGATTAATGCTTTAAACTTTAGAAATAAATTTAATGGTACTTTTTTTTTCTTTTCTATAATTCTCACCATCTTTCATTATCATCTAACATTATTTGACATCTTATCAGAAACTGGGATGCCTTCCTTTTTAACATATATCTGAGCTTTCTAATGATGTTTGTGTACTTTTTAAAAACTAGACACTATTACTTTTATTGGAGTCCAATCAGCCATATATAATTCCCAACCATTTTCGTTTTGGCCAATAATTAAGACCATGGGGTGTGGTTCACGAGGGGCTTCGGCGGGGGTGGGGTGACTAGGCTCGGTCCCAATTGGGAACACCCCGCCCCCTTCTCGTCAAGCAAATGATTGAGTTACGAGGTGCTTGGGCCGCAACACCTCAAGGCCAAGAAATTGATGTCTTTCCATTATTCTTTATTTGTTTCCTTTTTAAACTTTTAATAGAGATAGAATTATGGCATGAATAAAAGTGTATTTTTTTGTTTAGCCTTCTTCCTATGTAAAGAAGGTTGAGTCTTTGTAATCGGCAGAACAATTCGATATACAATAATATTTTCTCCTATTATAATTCTATCAGATTGAAGTTGCACATATATCAGCATGCATGTGCTACTTACGCATTCAGTTCCAACATACGGAATTGATTTGTACTGAATTGCACTCACCAACTGCGCCACAAACCCGTAGTTTGCACGACATTGTAGGTTTGTGTGGTATTGGATGTGTCGCTTTGTTGGGAGTACATACGTTTCGAACTCCGGAGCGAAGACCCGATCCAACAAACCACCAGTTTAAACTTTGACTTTAAGTTGATTTGGGACGATAAATGGAAAAGGAAAAAAGTGGGGATTAAAAAGGGAGGAATGCTCCTGCTGGATAACATTTTTTTAAAAAAAAAAAATCAAGTGGTATGATTGCCAAATAGAAAGAAAAAAGAGAGTATGTAGTGTATATATATATCAAGTGGGCATCATCTTTCCACGTCCAAAGAAGAGAGGTTGTCAATTGAGCTCGAAGGCATATATATGGCACTAATTGTCTCACTCGAAAGCCATGTGGGGTTCTTGTAAGTGGATTCCAACTCCTCATTTAACCCTACATCCCTTAGACTGGTGCACATATATATATGTGTGTGTACTTGCGGGCCAGAGGCAAAGAGAAATTGCTGCAATGAAGGGCTTTGCAACGAACCAGGAGAAGCCAAATATGTTCACTTGTTTCCTCCCTCCTCA